TCCTTCTATTATTGATTATCTACCAGGAAAACACAGAAACTTACTTAAAAATTTCACTTTTTTAAAACATTACTTTTTGGCAAAAGTAAAAGAGCACCAAGAATCACTGGATGTTAACAATCCTCGGGACTTTATTGATTGTTTCCTGATCAAAATGGAACAGGTAATATGTTAATAAAACTCCAATCCAGTTATCTGATTGCTTGAGCATCCTTTGTCCCATGAATAGTTTCTGTCTTACAGGGATACTTACATGGTTCAGACCAGTAATGTTTGACAGCACTGTGTGCCTAATATGTACATGAATTTACAGTAAGCATCTCAGGCAATATAAAGTTAAGTAATCTGAATATATTAACCCTATGGTTTTTAGACAAAAATTGTCTAGCTGAAAAGTCATATAACTCAATGGCCCCGTGGAATGGAAACATTTCCAAAACTCTTGGGAAAAATTTCCATGACATGATATAAAGATGAATACCGTCTTTGCAGATTATGTTTGGAAACTTAGAAAAGCAGATCAAGCTAGGCACACTTTCTACAGCATCTTGAGCCTGAATTAAATCTTAAAAGATTAGCTGTGGACAGGTGAGGGAATTCCAGGTGAATTTTACGTTGTAGGTTGCGGTGTGAGAAGGGGATCAGTGCCAAGATGAAAGGTGCCTTAAGTGAGGTAACTTCAAGCTGATTGACATGGACATGGAATTAAAGACTGATGGCTCTCAGACACCTGCATGAATAAATGCTTCTGTCGTGGCTCTGTTTGTTGAAAAGCCACTTATTTTCTCCAGAGACTGTTGGCACTCATCGTAAACGTAAGGTGTCTGTTTTGCGAGATCTCTGTTCTGATCCACTGATGTTAGCTGCATCGGGATTTACTCTCCGTATTTAAGCATTATACATTACTCACAAGTGTTAGGGACCTTTCATTTTTCTTTACCACATTGTCTTCATGACTAGCCCTCATATAACATGCTGTCTGCCTTTTCTCCTTCTTTTGTGTGTTTTGAGTAAACTATTGACAATAAAGGAAATGGGGTATCAATTTTTTGTTTATATCTCTTTGGCAAGGTGGTACACTGCATGGCTTACCTGACTGAGGAGTCTCATGCAATATTTTTCCAGACAGGATACTGGGTATAGGAGGTGAATATGGGTCAGTCGGGGTCTGCATGTCTTTTGAACACATGTCAGTTTATTACTCTGCTGCACTTTTCAGGATCTCTCAGGAAACTCATCACATGTAAGTTATTTAATTCACTGACAAATAATTTGCTGGCTAACACAGTCAAACCATTCCTAGGAAAAGAACAACCCAAAGACGCAGTTTATTTGTGAAAACTTGGTCTTCTCAGCATCTGACCTGTTTGCTGCAGGGACAGAGACGACAAGCACAACCCTGAGGTACTCTCTGCTGCTCCTGCTCAAGCACCCAGAAGTCACAGGTAAGGACACAGTGGGAAGCGAGTGAGTTTCAGGAAGGAATGAAAGATACCCCTAGAGTCCTTGATTTTGTTTGTCTTAAGGGCGCCTCAAACTTTAACTTTCTGTGCCACTACAATCTGCTACATTTATCAGGGGGACTGAAGTGAGATGCCTCGGCCCATAGCAGAGGAGAATGCTTCACAGAAGTGAAGACAGAAGGCAGGAGAAACGATGAGAAAATGTACCGTTCTAGTGCCTTGATTTCATGGGATGTGATCGTGTCCACACAATTTGCTTTTGAAATGCAAATTAGTTTAAATAGGAAAAAGCCATATCTTGAGGATAGTTTTCCTTATTCTGACAATTATATATATTTATTATTTTTCTTTATATTATATTTTTCCCTCTCCCTCCCTCCCTCCCATGCCTCTGCCCCCCATTCCATCCCATCCCTTCCCTTCCACAGTTCTTCTTTTGTTGGAACAGAAACTCTCCTTACAGAAGAAGAAATACCAATTCTAGAATTTAGTGAGACATAATCCAGGAAATTACTCTAAAAATGCAGCTCCATTAAAAAGACATCTTCCTTTAGGCAGAATTTCTAAAGGCATTTTATTTACTATTCTAGAAATAAATTTCCATAAAATACTACTTAACATAGGGCAGATTGTTGGGGGTGTGTTCTACAATTTTATCTTAAAAATATTCTATATATATAAGTGTTTTGCACACATTGGTGTATTTGTATCATGTGCATGCCTGTTGCCCACAGAGAACAGAGTTACCAAATACTTAGTAACTGAAATTTACAGGGGGTTATGAGCCACCATATGAATGCTGGAAATGAACCCAGGTCTTCATGTGATAAGAAGTAATGGACTTCAGGAATCCAGAGAGCTCCTGGGGAAGAATGAAACTGTCAGGGAGGTTCTCAACATCACACTCAGGAAATACTCAGTTTAGAATGGACCAATGGATGATGAAGGTATGAGGAGAGAATCTAGGACAAAAGTAGTTGATACTCTGAGACTTCCCCATAACTGGACAGTATTGGCAGGACTTTGAAACATCTATTTGAATATTTCAAAAATAATTCCATTAAAATGGAAAAAAGTGTAAACTGATAAAGAGAAATAGAGTTAAGTCCAAGATAGCACCATCAATGGCAATAGCATCAACACAACAAAGAAAGAAAAATTGTTTTCTTACTAGGGCACAGATTTTATGTAGTCACAAAGATTTAACCAATGGATACAACCAAAGTTTCCCTATGAGGATTGGATTGAGGGAAATGTTTATATTTAATACATATAGAGAATATGAAACCATTACTTCCACATGAAGAATTTAATTTCTCTAATGATGGATAAGAAAGGAGTAGTAATTACATATAAATATAAACACAAATTTCAGGAGAAATTGTTAGTATGTGGCTATATATGGGAAGTAAGAGGGTACTGCATACCTTTGGAAAACACATACGAGCATGCATGCAATAATTTGTTAGATGTACTGCATTATTTTGATATAAATAATGTTTGATCAATAGTTTTCTTCGGTAAGAGCTGATTTTCTTGACTTGTTCTGTTTATTATTTGAAAGTAATAGTTAATGTTGACTTTTAAGTATGCTAATTGATAAACATATAAGGCCTATGTATTTTGACATCTAGAATATATGATAGTAGTATTTATATCATAGCAACTATCACTTAATTAGCATATATTATGCTTTCATAATGCTACCAGGCATCTTCATCTTTCCACAAATAACCCTGAGTTGTGACCAATGTGCCACTTCCTTTTTCTGTCATTTTTCACTGTGTTGAACCAGCCAAAGTCCAGGAAGAGATTGACCGTGTGATTGGTAGAAACAGAAGCCCCTGCATGCAGGACAGGAGTCACATGCCCTACACTGATGCTGTGTTGCATGAGATTCAGAGATACATTGACCTCCTTCCCACCAGCCTGCCCCATGCAGTGACCTGCGACATTAAGTTCAGAAACTATTTAATTCCCAAGGTAATTTTCCTTTGTTTACACTGTACCTTAAATGCTCTTGATCTCGAATGAGTAAGTGAAATTAAATCATAAACCCAAGATATTGGTCTTGCAATTTCAGATCACCAGTGTTGAAGAGAAAGTTGTAAATACCTTCAGGGAGATTAAGCCAATCAAGCTGCTTACAGTATATTTGCAAGTAGACTGTGATTGGTCCCACTTTTCTGTCTCCACAAGATAGGAGAAATGAAAACATTTTAAATCTGGAAGCTGGATGGATTTTTATGCTTTTTCCAGTAAGAGATAATACAGAACAAGTCTTTATTTGTGGAGCTTTATATCTTCCAAATCTACTCTCCATTTAAAACCACTTGACTGCTTACATTTTCAAATAAAACATAAAGTTCAGATTTTCAGTCTTTGAAAAGACTCTTCTAGGATTTTATCAGGATGCTAAGAAGTATATAGGCATATTTAGAGAAAAAATATGTCTCTCTCTCTCTCTCTCTCTCTCTCTCTCTATATATATATATATATATATATATATATTCATTATATATTGACCCATTAAATCTTTCAGTTCATGGTATTATGTACTCAGCTTCAAGGTTGGTTTGTGTCATTGTACTCTAGCAGTTTACTTCCAGTTATAACATTGGAAGAAAAAAATGGACAAAAGATATCCTATAGGACTCATATGTATTGGCATATGTTAACTATGTTGATAGTGGAAACAGCTACTTCTTCCTGTCTGAAGATAATATTCAGATCTCTCCATTGTAGAAGCTCTGCTTTTTTTTGTAAATAAAATGTATGGCATGGCCCATTGATATATTATGAATAGCCTGCTTGGTGAGTTATCTGATCAGTTTCTCAGTTTCAATATTTATTTTCGAGTAAACTGATGACCCTGACTGGAATTGTTACAAAATCAGGAAACTTCTAAGTTTGCCGTCCCTTTAATTTTTTTCAAGTAGTCTTAAATGTAATACATATCTCATCTATATTTTAAAACTAAGGCAAATAAACTGTGCGTTGGGGAAAAACCTGAATAATGTTTTATTTATTTTTGGCTGTGTTATTCCAGAAGACATTGTTAATTTTTTTTTCTTTTTGCAATCCTCAAACCACTTATTGACAGCAAGCCTCTATAGCTGTGAACCACGTGAGGGGCAGTAGTGTGGGAACCAGCAAAGTGTCCCTTGCATGGGCGCTGCCACCCTGGGAATGCTGTGAGCTCATGGCAAGCAGAGCATAAATAATACTGGTGGGCAGGTGTGGGCAACAGGGATATCACAGGACAGCCACCTCGGAGAGCTATCGGGGACATGGGGACACAGGACACACGAGGCTACAGAGGCACACGGACACAAAGGGGCAGTGGGTAACACAGGACATGCCAAGGCGATGAAGAAACAGAGTTGGAATTCTGGGCTGTTCTGGACACTACCCAGCAGGCTTCCTCCTCAATCACTCAGGCCACGGGGTTTGCAGGCAAGACACACTGAGGAAGAGTTAGGCAGCAGGTCATTTTCCTTCGGGGTCAGGTAGGGGACCCTGAGAACGGCGTCTGAGGCCTAAGGGTGAACTGTGCCTTCAGGGTCCTTGTCATAGATGTAACTGCCCACAGCACCAGTATTCACTCCCTTGGATCCAGAGAGAATTCCATAGCAAGGCTTGTGGCAGTAGGGCTGGCCATCATGCTCAGCATGCCCGCCAGGGGTCAGTGTCTTGGAGCAGCACTCACAGCGTAGACAGGGTCAGTGCCAGTCCTTGCCCAGAGAGGTCACCTTCTCAGCAAAGTACACCCTCTTGTTGCATCGAGGACACATGTTGGGTTCCCCAGTGAATGTGGTGACACTAGAGGCTTTGCTGGGCCCCTTGGGGAGTCTGCTGGTCTTTCGCTCCTCTGTTCGCACCACAGGGACCTTGATCGGGCCAGTGACCTGAGGGCCTTCAGTCAGAGGCTTCTCATAGATGTAGGAACCAGCACCCCCTATATTCACACCTTTGGGCCCAAACAGTGTGGCATAGCAGGGCTTGTGGCAGAAAGGCTTCCCATCATGCTCAGCATGGCGCCCGGGGGTCAGCGTCTTGTTGCAGCGCTCACACTTGAGACAGAACTTGTGCCAGTCCTTGCCGAGGGAGCTCACCTTCTCAGCTAAGTACAAGGTCTTGTCACACTTGGGACACTTGGAGGCCATGGTCGATGGCATTGTTAATTTTATCAGACATGTATATGCAACATTTCTATGAGCAGATACTTCTGGTGTTGTGCATCAAAACTTACATTTGAAGCCACATTCCACATAGGCAAAAGATGCAAAAGACCAATAGGTGGTGATAGGCACTAGTGCTACACTTGTTGGTAAAGGAACATTCCATTACTTAATGCTTCTAAAGTTATTGGAAGACACTGTATAAAAATCACTGCCCTTTGATCCCAACTTACTTGTTTATTACATGATTTGTCCGTCTAGATATGCCTCTGCTCTTGTTTGGACAAGATTCCCTCAGAAGTTTTGACTATGCCATGCCCATTGTTTCTCTTACCTCTGTAGCATTTATATAACTTGGCTTGTCTATGCCTCTTGTTTGCAGGGTACCACTGTCATAGCATCTCTGACATCTGTGCTACATGATGACAAAGAATTCCCCAACCCAGAGAAGTTTGATCCCAGTCACTTTTTGGATGAGAATGGCAAGTTTAAGAAAAGTGACTACTTTTTCCCCTTCTCAACAGGTAAAGTTATTTCCTGGTCTTTTATATCTTACAATCCACCTCCATCTACCCCATTGTTCTATGAGCCTTAGCTGCATTACTTGTGTTGTAGATGTATCCACCTGAGTTAGGCATCCAATGATAAACTGTTTTCTGCATTTTGATCAGTTGTGATTTCCTATATTGGTTTCTATTTGTTGCAATGAGTTTCTTTGATGAATATCAGAGCTACAGTTGTCTGTGGATATAAAGATACACAGGTCTATGACCTCACTAGCCCAGGAAAGTTAGAGAAAATTTCCAGTACCAGGCAATATTTCCTTCCTGTTGAGGGGGCTTTAAGACCAACTAGCCACTGGCTACCAGCAAGATTTGTGTGCTCCTATTGTACCCATAGGGATATTTTATATTATGACCATGACTGTGGATTATAGGTGTGACAACTGGGCTGGCTATATTGGTTGCCTCCTTCTCTTCTGAAATTATGTCTCCTAGAAATGACAGGGAAACCCTACAACACCAATAAGTATGCTAACACGGAAGTGGGAAATGTCAAGGGGTTCTTTCATTAAGCAAAGGACAACAGACAACTGAAGAATGCTGAGTGGGAGAGATCTTCATCTCCATTGATGAGCCTCCTAATTGGCTTTATAATTCTAATTGGTCAGTTTCGAAATCATATACATATGTATAACACTAATGGACTTAGAAGGTTGCATTTTTATATCAATATATATAGATGTCATATATAAATTTAATGATATATTTTTATATATGACTACATGTTACATTTATATGTTGCAATAACAAAGAATAGGAGACCTAGGAGACCATAATTTGAGAATAAGTGAGGGGACATGGAAGAAGTTACAGAAAGAAAGAGGAAGGGGGAAATGATGTATGTGTATTTGAATTTCAAAAATGTTATCTCTAAGGTAACAAGGTAACCTTTAGGTGTTCCTTGAACATTACAAGTTTTTGCTCTTGGGATGGTAGATTAGATTTTATCTGATCACCATTCCTGATGTCCATGCACTTTTTATGAGATTAAACATTTTATCTGCTGAGCCATATTAGTGGTACTCTAGAGTGTTGACCCATCCTTTCCAAATTCACAAAGCTAGACCACAGTGTGGTGGTATTGTGTTTATAGATATCTCATTGAACTACTATTGAATCCTTCCTAGACAATTGGGAACCACGTATTTAAATAAATGAGCCAATGAAGGACATATATATTCAGTACACATCAAAGATTCTTTTCAAAGCAACTGTCTCTGGTGGTCACTGCACATCCAGTTATAGCTGTGGACTGATCATGGGGACTCTGTGATGATGTCAGATTCTCCAATCCTAAAACCAGTTTAACTTCTATGATTTAGGACCATCTTCAAGATAATTGCTGGCTTTATTACTCTAAGTGTTTGCTGAGAGATATGTGAAGGTTTCCTTTAAAGCTTCTCAGCTGGGACTGGTCCTGGTTATCTGCTTATTAAGCTATTTCTGTTTCTATGGGATGGAGCCTTGTGTCTTTGATATGACGCTTTCTCTTTTGCCTTCCTCCTTTCAGTGGGAGTCTCTTCCATTATCCTGGTGTTTGGTTCCAAAGCAGTGATACTCTGCCTCTTCTGTTGTATTATACATGTTCTCTGGTGTACATCAGCTCTACTTTTGTGTGTCATTAAACCCCAAGTCTCAGCATGGTAATTCAGCTCCATGAGCAGTTAAATGAGTATTCCTTTACTTTCATCCTGTGAATGAGAATTCTAGTAGTCAGTATTGCTATTTTACCCTCTAAAGTTTTCTATCCAAGTATTTTAATACTATGTTTCTTAATATTAGATTGGAAAAACATGTTCATTTATTCACCCAACTGTCCATCCATCCATCCATCCATCCAGTCTATCAAAGAGTGAATTCTCTTTTATTATAATTGCAAACACAGCAGCTCTTGTCTCAGCCAAATAAAAGAAGTTTTTTTTTGTTTTGTTTTGTTTTTTTTTTTTTTTTATTATTATTTGCAGGAAAGCGGATTTGTGCAGGAGAAGGCCTGGCCCGAATGGAGTTATTTTTATTCCTGACCACCATTTTACAGAACTTTAACCTGAAATCTCCAGTTGACCCAAAAGACCTTGATATCACTCCAGTTGCCAATGGATTTGTTTCTGTGCCACCCAAGTTCGAGATCTGCTTCACTCCAATCTGAATGTATTTTCCCATGTAGCCTCTTCCTCCAGGGCATGGTTGACCTCTTCTGTCAGGCATGTCTCTCTGGCCTCCCATCTCACATTGCCTCACCTCCTGAAGGTCCAGAGAATGCCTGTCTTCTACTTCTGGACAATTTTCAGTGTCACTGCACAAACATATCTATAATTCCCTATGCTGTCCAATGATTTATTGACTTCAGCATTATCAGTTCTAATCTAATGCTGAGAAATGTGACAGTTCAGCATCACCTAGCCCTGTGTGATTTAAATAAAAGCATTATAATTCTGGTCTGTTTTCAGAGTTTCCTTTCTTTTTTCTTTTGTCTTTTGATATGATCTCATGTAGTTCAGGCTATCTCTAAACTCACTGTGCAGCTGAGCATAACATAAAATCTTCCTGTCCCACCACTTGAGTTCTGGAATTCTGTGTATTTAACTGTACAACCTGATCTGTTGTTATTCTTTTTTTTTATAAGGCAAGTAGTAATAAATCAATGTCCCAAGAAGCTTTTGTTTCTTCATTCTAATGTATGCAAAGAAAATAAGAGTGAGTGGTAGAAAGGCTCTTTCACTGAACCTCACTGATAATGACTGCAAGTTTGGATCTGAATGAGAAAAATGATGCTGTAAAGGGACATGTAAAAGGGACTAGACACAGGTAGGAATACATAGTGTTATAATTCCTGTCTCTGATCACAAACACTGGCATGATCTTTCCAGTTTATGATTCTTATCTAGAACCAAATATGAAACCATGCTTTCACACTGGAAATCCTGTGTTCTATGTATTATCTTTCCCCAAAATACCACAATTCTTCTGTGAAGAAGTATATTCTAAAAGACTGTCCTGCCTTGTCTTGGCAATGTTTGCAGCCACTCCTTTTAGTGCTCTGTTTGTCCAATATAGGCAAAATACTGTCAGCAGTTGAGGCAAGGGCAGTTTCTTGCCCAGTAGCTTACTTTTGTCAAAAAGAAAGTAAACTCCTTGTGGAGTTTCTTTGATGCCCATCATCTTCTCCAATGTAGACTGGTGCTTCCAGGAGAAGACACATCTCATTGTCATAAAAAACTACCTATGTCATTAAAACATCTTAAATCCCACATTCTATAGGGCTCTGAAGTATTTGAAGATGACCTGTCTTCTTGAAAACATACCTTATGTGATTACAAGTTTGATTGTAATAGATGAATAATTAATAAACTATACTTCCTTATTATCCTATATAATTGGTAATAATAACTTTCAAGGCCTAGAAATTTGTATAACATTGATAAATGAACTGTATAGGTATAATACCTTGAACAATCTTAGAAATATATGACAGTATTTTTTAACAAAATTAATCTCAAAGTTGTATCAATACACAATATTTGCCTACAATTACAGAAGTCCAACCCAATGTAAAATATTAAAAACTAGTAAGTGCTTTTAAAAAGTAAGTTCAATAATATACCTTTAAATCTTATTATAATCTATACTTTGTAGAAAAAGATTCAATACTCAACCTTTCTTAAATATATTTATTATTTTTCTTATTTTACATATGTATCCCAGTTCCTTCTCCCTCCCTCCTGCCCATGCCCCCCTCCTGACACCTTTTCCATCCCACCCCTCTACTCCACAGGGAGGGTGATGCCTTCCAGGAGGGATCATCAAAATCTGTCAAATCATTTGGAGTAGGGTCTAGGCCCTCCCTCCTGTCTCTAGGCTAAGGGAGTATCTCTCCATAGGGAATGTACTCCCAAAGTCTTTTTGTGCACCAGAGCCAGGCCTTCTAACTGAGACCCACGTTCAGGGGGTCTGAGTCTGTACAATGCTGGTTTCCCAGCTATCAGTCTTGGGGTCCATGAGCTCCCCCTTGTTCAGATCAGCCATCTCTGTGGGTTTCTGTAGCCTGGTCTTGACCCTCTTTTTTATCACTCCTCCCTCTCTGCAACTGGATTCCAGGAGTTGGACTCAGTTTTTAGCTGTGGGTGTCTGTTTCTGTTTCCATCAGCTACTAGATGAGGGCTCTATGATGGCATATACGTTAGTCATCAATCTCATTATCAGGGAAGGGCATTTGTAAGGAGTAAGGTTTTTCACTGGTCTGGTCTCAACACCCTGCCAGCCACAAATAACACACAGAGACTCTGTATTTGATATAATGCTGTTGGCAAGTTACTTGTTTCTTATTGGCTAGCTCTGTCTTAAGTATTAACCCATTTCTATTCATCTAAGTATTTCCATGTGGTCTCATCTTACCAGAGAGGGGCTGGCGTTGTGCTCTTCCCGGT